AGCCCCTGCTGGAGCAGGTTCCTGGTAGGACCTGCAGCCCATAGAGAGGAGCTCATGCAGAAGCAGGTTTTCTTGCAGGAATTGTGGCCTGCGGGGGGACCCACACTGGAGCAGTTTGTTCCTGAAGGACTGTACCCTGTAGAAAGTACCCGTGCTGGAGCAGTTCTTGAAGAACTGCATTCTATGGGAAGGACTCACATTGGAGAAGTTCATGAAGGACTGTATCCCATGGGAGGGACCATATGCTGGACCAGGGGAACAGCATGAGGAGGAAAGAGCAGCAGAGACAGTGTTATGAACTGACCACGACTGACCACAACCCCCCAGTCCCTATCCGCCTGTGCTGTTTGAGGCGGGGGGAGGTAGACCTTATGAGTGAGTTGAGACTGGGAAGAAGCCAAACTGGGAGGAAGGTGTTTTTAGTTTTGTTTTTCTCAATATTCTACTCTCTTATTAACTGGCAATAAATTAAATTAATTGATTTTCCCTAAGTCGAGTTTTGCCCATGACAGTAATTGCTGAGTTTATCTCAGCAATGTTGTTATCTTGACTCACAAGCTTTTTCATCATATTTTCTCCCTCTGTCCTGCTGAGGAGGGGGAGTAAGAGAGAAACTTGGTGGGCACCTGGCTAGCCAAGGTCAACCCACCACACTAACACACAGAGAAGGACTGGCATCACTGTCCTCGTCACGGTGCTGTTCTGCAAGGTGACACGCAGGACTGTGACTTCAGAGAGGCAGCAGAGGTGTGGAGGGCAAGGCTGTGACATCATGTTTAACCAGCCAATGTCCAAAATCAAATGTCTGAACCCACTTACACAAGCCATGTGTCATTTGAAATTACATCTACCTCTTGAAGACAAACAAATTGCTGTAGAACAGAAAGGCCATGGGTGGCTAGAGCGTGAATGGCAAGGGTATATTCTCCCAAAACTCACAAGGCATATTAAGGTTTTAAAAGAGAACTGCCAAACCACTGAAATTTCTCTATCCATCATTCTAGAGAGCCAGAGAGATCTAGATCTACTTTGTAGAGCCCAGAGTTAAAGAGCTACACTGGTCATTGTGGGCACAAGACAGACAGTGCTGGGAGCAGAGAGAAGCAATGGGGTGGCCAAAGACAGGGACACCCAGCTCTGAACAAGGCCCCTCCTCTGCAAGTTGCATGGCACGCTTTCTTTCACTGCCCATCCCCACTGGCCAGGCAGGTATACAGATATCATCTTCTCTGTTTGGGGTCAGCAGTATCACAGATTGATCAGGTTTCCCTGATTTCTGCAGAGCAGGGGTGCATGCACGTCTACTGGATGAAGCTGTGAAGACACCCCATCTCCCACTGGCTGCAGGCTGGTGCGAGCAGCAGAGTGCAGGTTTTCTGGGGATGGTGCATCTCCACAGGGGCACGGGAGTGGTGTCTACTGGAATCCTGGACTCCAGATTCAGCAGCTTCCTATCTGAGCCTGCTAATGAGGGGGCTAATTAATGCTCTCTGGGGGCGCACTCCAGATGGAAGGGAAAAGTGAGAGACAGGCAGCCAGACAGGCCAACACTTCAGACATCTGAGCCAGTTGGGCTCCGTGGGCAGAGCTTTCTGCCTGCCGCTTTCCCCAGTGAGTCTCGCCTGCCCCGCAGCGTCACACCAGGAGAACCTGAGACAGCAAAGCTCTGGTGTTCGTGCAGTTCCCTTGTTGCAATGCATTGATCGGAGCTCTCTTAAAGAAAGTGGCCTGGATATCTGAGACACCTATTGATTGCTCCGTTGGCTCTCTTCCTGCCCTGATCCTCATTCACTCAGCATTGCCTGAATAACCTGCACTTTTGTGTTAGGGACAGTCTCCCCAGATCTTAAAGGGCTACATTCACAGAAGTTCACCTAGCGGCAGCCCATGAAGGGAGGAGAGAAGATGCCTGGTGACCCTCATATGCACTCCCCAAGGGGAGGGCCTAAGTTTCTGCTGCAGCATCAAGATGAGCATTTCAAGCGTAAGGCAGGAGCTTGAAGTCATGGTTACCTGGTTTTGCCATCTCTGAATACTAGTGGATTCTGCTTGAAGAGCGAGCTCGTGCCACATGCCCAGTGGGCAGAAGGTAGTGTGTACATCATATATGATGAAATAACCAGGAAAATCTTTCCTCCCTTAATGAGAAGAAATCATGAAACCCTTAATTAGGTACTAATGGAATATCATACTCTTCTTCTTCAGAGGAAGGACAGTTTCTTTACCAAGAAATGTCCCTACAAAGTTACCAGCCCAGTAGCAAGGACGTCAAGGAGAAACCTGTCAAGAGAAGAACTGGTTTCTAGATCTTGCCTTTAAACACAGGACTGTTTTTCTCCAAACTTTTGGTAATCAATCAGGAGAAAGAACCTGTCTTATCAACCTTTCTCCATGGATGAACCCAAGGAAGAAGAGAGGTACACCAAGGCAAAGTAGAAAGGGGAACTACTGAAAGGAAATTAAAAATCATAGCTCAAGTATCAAGATATGTCTTGTCCTAATGAGCTCTTGGAGAGTGCAGAATAGGCTCTCTGGGGAAACCAAGATATCAGGGGTTTTTAAAAACAGTTAAACTACTAGAAATGTACAGCTGGGAACACACACCTGCTCTGTCAGAGAAAAGGAATGGGTGAGCTAATAGGATGACAGATCAGAGAATGAAAAGGCCAATGAACCTTTTCTAATCCAAACCCCCTTGTCAATTTTGAATTTTTGAGCAAGTCAAACAATTATGGATTTCTTCTTTCCAGAAAGTCCTGGCTCTGTGGAGACCAAAGACTGCAAAACCATTTTTCTCCCTTTCTGGATTTCGCTTTTAAAGATGTCTATTGATTGAATTCTGTATACTAATACTTTGTGCTTCCACCAGGATTCACATAAAGTTAACTAATTGCTCCTCGCAATCCTTTTGCAAGGCAAAGCAGTGTGACCCTTATTTCTCAGCTCGGGAAACTGAGCAAAAGAAAGAGAAAAAAAGATGCCTGCCCAACGCCAACATCACTTGACCACTCATTGTTAGGACACAAGTCCTATTTGCAGATTGCTAGTGCCGTGTCCTCTGCTCCTCTTGATATTGTCATGTGTTCTTCCATCTCATTACAATCAATAAATCTTTATACTGTATATTCCACAGCTCTAAATATTATGGGCAGGATCACAGACACACTAATATCAATAGCAAACCTCCCTTCCCCAGTGACTTTAATGATGCTGAATCAATCCCTATATGAATAACTAAATACACTTCAGCACAAAAGCAGCCTTAGAGTCAAATTTCAGTTTGCCATGAGTAGTATCTCACAGTGTTCAAGAGTTCAGGTGCAGCATGGTGTGAGTGCACCTACATTGCTTTCCAGCCTATCTCTGGTCTGGAAGGAGTTAACTGTTTTCACACAACTGGGAGGCTAAGCCACAATACCCTTCACAGGATCCTGTTCTGGACTGTGTTGAACTCCCAGAATTGGAAGCAGAGGATGCCCTGGCCACACAGTCAGACATGCCAGCACCGGCTCCTGTGACTCTGCTCCTCCAGCTGCCAGCTCCGAGAGGCTCAACTGCCCGGATGCAGGGCAGTGTGGACACAGGCAGCCAGCGAGCCTGGCCCCATGCTGCTGCTCTGCAGAGGGACTGGAGCCACATCAGCTTTTAAGGTTGTTTTATGGGATTCATATGAGCAGGCATTACCAATCTGTACTCCCTCTAAAGCCAGTGTCACTGGTGTGGACTGGCGTGAGTAAAAGGGCATATATCCCCTCCCTGAACTACTGTATGCAGAGAAGCAGGTTTCCAGTGGTACCTCTTTAACTCCAGAAGTAGGTGCCTCCCTCTCAGCAGTGGATCAAGATCCTCCAAGTCTACCATATCTACACCTAGGTCAGGGAGGGCCAGACTACACGAGTCTGCATCTCTTCTCCTTGGTAACTGATGTGCTCTGGCAGGAAGATATTTAACCACAGCAACTACATATAACAGAACACGGTTTACCTACATTCTTAACAACACTAGCTGCCATCAACTTGCCTCTCAAGAAATGAGAGGGCCCTAGTGCAAAGCAATACACACTCAAGTGACATGGTACAATTCATCACCAGCTGCTATGATGGTATGACCTGGAAGCACGCTGCACGCTGGCATCTTGGCTCCAGCATACAGGACTTGTGCAGACTGCAGCCAGCTGCTGTTCCTTGTGGTTAGACTGAGGGGACCATGCTCTGCCAGGTACAGCAATGCAGAGGGTTACATGCAATGCTTCTCCTTCCTTCCCCCTCCTCCCCTCACTGCCTTTCCCAGAGGGACCCAAGGGAAACAAAGCTTTAAAGTCAATCCATAAGAATGCGTTTAGTTGCCACTGAAATCCCTGTGGTTCACCTTGAATGGACAAGGATTAGGGAGGGGTATGGGGGGAGAAAAAGCAGCACAAGAGCTGAACACTGCTCAGAGAACACTGAACAAATCGATAGGCTGAGCACAATGCAGGCTGAGTATGCAGGGCAGGGGACCCACACCTCCCAGACATACCTGTGCTACCCACCATCTTCAGAAAGTCTCCTGAGTGGGAATATAGTCAGATCTTTGTTGCACACCGTGCCATAGCTCTGCATTAACTTCCCTCACGAAGCCCAGCCAACCCAGTCATGATCATGCAAGAGCCTCTCCTCCCCAACACTGCAAAATGAGCTGGGGGACAAGAAGATCAATACCCTCCAGCCTGGGGTTCCTTTGGGAAAGGAAGCAGTTTGGCACAGCCAGTTTCCAGGTATTTGGCAAATTTGCAGGTGCTAAAAATAATATCCTAGTATGAGAGTGCTGACTAGAACCACTCTTCTCTCTAGACTTCCCTCTTGGTCACTGCCCAATCCTGACTCTTTTACAAAGCCTGTAAAGATACCTTCAGAAAGCCAGAGAGGGCAAGCATGTAGTTAGCCTCAGAGAACCTGCAAGACCTGGAGTCCCAGATGCTGTTGGGACAGAGAACAATTCTCAGTCTGACTCTGTCTTACCTTCTTTTAGCATCCCCACTTTGAGGCATTTCATGAAGCGACAGGCCTGACAGGACTTGCGCCTCCGTTTCGTGATCTCACATTCATTGGTAGCCGGGCAGCTGTATTCAATATTCCCTGCAATCAAACACAGAGATGGTCACCCAGGAACCACGTTCTCCCCACTGATCCAGGGACAGGCTGTAGTGCCCAGATACTCCCACCACCATCAGCCTGTATATGCTGTACGTTTGCTCACTCATTTGCACACACACATACTCTGAGACCCCAGCCAGCTGATGATGGCTCCTAGAAGGCCCAGCACTACTTACTAGAACACATTTCAGATAAAAAGCAATAGTGTTCTAAGTACTAGGAGAAGCCTGTCCATCCATGGGGCTGCCTGCAATGCTGGGCTTTCAGGTACAATATGTCCTCCAGGCACGTATGTCATCATCCCCTGTGCTGCATCCCTTATAACCTGGCCTGTTTCCTTAAGTGCAGGGCTGACAGTGGGAGCAGTTCAGACATTAGCAGCATTCCCTTTGCTGCCAGTCTTGCTCCACGTCTGTGGGATGGAGGTCACCTGTCCTTTCTTGCCTTGCTTGGGGGTCCAGGGAACTCAGAGTTGGCATTTCCTCCTTTGCTTTCCTCTAACAGCTAGCATACTACAAGTAGCAGGGAAGCACTAGGTCTGGATTGGGAAAGACAGATAAAATGTCCTGTAAAATGAACACAGGCTCCCTATGCAAATCTTTCCAGTTTAACTTTATTAGTCCTTGTTCACCTGCCTCTCATCCCTCTGCAAAGAGCATCGGCATTTCTTTTCTCATTTATGATCATCTCACAACACCTCACAACACTGCCTCTGAGACAAAACAGGAAAAGAGACATCCCGAATTTTTTTCTGGTCACAGCATATTTTATCATAAGTCAAGAATGTAACTGAAACATAGATGTGAGGGTCTGATACGGGGATGTTAGTGGCATTATGCTGGATCACAGTATAATGCAACAATTATTTAGTCCTAGAAGACAACAAACAGAAACGGCTGTGTCCATGCTGCCATTCACTTTGGAGGTGATATTTCTGAAGAGGGCTATTCAATGTTTGCTGTGGAGCAGGACTGGAAATCTAAGCTGGGCAGTGATGCATTGACAATGACAATACGTTTAAGGCAGTCTAGCTACTGGGTAAATCAGACAGCTCTGAAAAGGATTTCTAAGCTCTGCAGTCAGTTCAGAAGAATGAAAAGTTGGTTTGGTGGTTTAAAGCAGAAATTGAGATTCAAGAGTTCAGTCAGAGCTATAGGGAGGAGTGAAGCTAAGAGCTGAGAGAACACACAATATAGACTTCGTGTACCATCAGATTAGAAGTAGAGTTCACAATTTAGTAGCATTGGGACAGGACTTGATTTTTGTTCCTACTTCTGTGATGGATTCCTATGTTCTTGTGTAAAACCCCTCCTTCTAAATAAAGATCAACAATCTGATACATACCAATATCGGGGTGGGGGTGGTGGTGGGGGGGGTGTGGGGGTGGATGTGATTAGACCTTGGGGCTAACTAAGCAGTTGGAAAGTCCATTAGGAGTCTGAGTGGAAAGACAGAGCACAAAGGAAGAAAGCACCATTTGATTTATCTCACTATGTTTGGCCCATGATGGGTGAAAGCCCAAGAGCACAAAACCCCCAAAGCCTAAAGGTGATCTTCTTGCTAGCTATAAACCTTCTACCTCTTGCCTCTTGTTTAGTCACAAGACTTGAAACTTGCCCCTAAGCTCCAGCCCAGCCACCCCATTCCTCACCACTGCTCATCTGCCCCTGAAATGCAGTTTGTCTGCAGGAGCAGTGTGTGCTGCACAAGTTGCTTCCATTCAGACTGTATTTCGTCATTGTGCAGCACCTGAATTTCAATGGCCAGCAATGTATCAACGTTCTCAGAGAGCTGGAAATTAAGATTCAGGCTTGATCTCAAGGTAATAAACAAACTCCTGCTCTAGACACAGAGCTCCAGCACATTACAGACCCCTGAGTACGGAGGCCCTGACCTCATGATCAGATACTTGCTGTGTCCCACACAGGAAGGAACAGAGCAGGAACAAATCTGGGATAAAACTGAAACACAGTCCCACTTTGGAAGGTTTTGCCTTAGTTTCAATGCCCACTTTTCTCACCAAAATCAGGTCCAGAGATCTGGAGAGATGTATGATTTCATGTTTTGTGGTCCCAAGACCAAAACTTTGCCCTCTAGCACAGACACTATAGCAAGGGCGCTGAGCCCTTATAAGCAGCAGGAGGCAGCGACAGCCCTCATTTGGTAGGTGCCTCTACACTGTGTCAAGCAGATCCCCCGCCTTCCCCATGCCTCCAGCCCATGGGCCTCTTGACAAGCAAAGTACTGGAAATGGTCTACAAAACCTACATCACAACTAAATGTGATAATGTCAGAGTAGGTGTAAGTACTAGTTACCATATATACACTGTATATACAACTTAAATAAGCAGCTCTCAAAGGCAATTGGCAGTTCTGTGCTGGGATCAAGACTATTAAAGGAGCAAAGCCAGAAGAAGGTGGGCAATGGGCAAGCTCCCCTTCCCGGATGGCAAAGCAGCGGCCACCATGCAGTGCAGCAGCCATGTGGCTTGCTAGTAAGCACAGGCGAAAAAATATACCCAGCACTGGTGGGACATCCCGTTCAGCATGCTTGTTGCCTTCACATTGAACAGAGGCTCGTGTGCCCCTTCCACACACTGTGCCCAGCCTAAAGGAAGAAAGCAGCAGCAGCTGTGTCTTACAGCCTTCTCTACAAGTACCAATGCTAGAGGTGAGGCCTGCTGTACCTTCTTCACACAAGACAATGCTGCCAAAATAAATAGAGTTTTATATCAGGCCCCAAAACATGCTCTGCACTGCATGGATTGAGAGCTACAGCCGGGGCAATACCTCCCATTATTGCAGGAAACAGGGACATCACCACGGAAGGCACAATCAGCATTACCCAAGCAGAACTCATCCAAGAAAAACTATCGTCTCCAAAACTTTAACAAAGTTCTCTGACTTTTTTTTTTTGTGTCTCAATTTCTTTTATGGGTCCTGGGGCTGGCTGCCAGCACAGTGAGCTACTCACAGCTCCTTGTAATTTCTGTAAGTGCCCTGTGATAAAGTGATGAGATTAACTCATCGAAATTCCAGCAGCCTCACAGCGGCTGGCGGTCACACCACCAGCCTGGCTGTCGGCGCAGGGTGCTTGGAGGGAGCTTCCCCTTCACTGCAGCAGCTGAGGTGCTGCAAGGCCCTGCAGAAGAGCATCAGCACACAAAGGTGCACAGGGACAAGTCTGTAGGCAAGTATAAAATCTGAATCAAGTCTCTGTGTGTCGTGAACTGTAGATTATGTGACCCAGAACGAAAGGGCAGAAAATGGGATAATCTAATAGACAAGGCCTTGCTTTGAACTGTTGCTTATTAGAAGAGATTCCCTTGACTTAGACAATATTTAAATTCGACCTGAAAAAACTGCTAGGACCTCACTGATGCCATGACACAAGATTTACCTAAAAAATGGCTTCAAGAAATTATGTGGTGGGTGACCAGATCATAGTTTGGATTTGTTCTAAGCCTTCATGTGTTGCCTTGGAGGGCAAATCACTTCCTCTCTGTGTCCTAGTTTGCTCATTTGCAAAATGAAACAAGCACCAAACCTACCTTGTGAGGAGATCATGAGTCTTGATTCATTAAGGTTTAACTGTATTTTAAAGACTTTAGATGAGAGATGCTAAGAAACAGCAAAGGACTATTAAAGTGATAGATCAAGTTTTCTGTAAAATTAGACCTTTGACTGTTCAACAGTTTGGAACATAATTTCCAGTGCACACATAATAGGACCACCTGCAAATTGAACACCAGAGATTGGTCATTCAAGAGACCCCACAGTCACCATACCTCTCTGGAAGGGGAGGGACTAGGAAGAGGAGAATGCCTCCCTGAGCTTGGGGAGCTCTGTAAAGTCCCACCCAGCTCCTGCTTAAGTTATGGACAGGGCTCCTCAGGGGAGTTGAGCTCAGAAGTAGTACAGCACTGAGATCACAAGCTGCTCCCTGCTTACTGATCCTGCCTTCATATAAAGCCTTTCTACAAGGAAACATGGGAAAGATCAGATATAAGTAGCCAATAAAGTCTTTAAAGGTAAACTGTTTTCAGCTTCTGTTTTCTGAATAAAACCCCCCATTGCTCCTCTTTTTTCTGGTTTCTTCTTCATTGCTTGTCACTATTCTTTCCCTCTCCTCTCCCTTCCTTCCACACTCTGTCCTGCTCCGCACTGCTGCACACTGACCTCTCATCTCTTTCTTTGGGTGACTCAGAGGACCAGATGACTGCAGCTTTTCCTGAATTTCAGGGAAAACCCCAGATTCAGACCTATCTGCTATTAAGTTCCAAATTCCATTCATTCAAGTTATGTCCTTCACCCCAGTGATCTGCCACAGCATGCTGAAGTTGTGACCAACTGTGTGGTGCCACGCTCTGCTGGCCCCCTGGGGCCAGAGGGCCGACAGCCGGAATTCCCAGGGAAATCCATCTCATAGGCACCTCAGCTCATGCATTTGATTCCTTTTATTCCAATTTTAGTAACAATTGTTACACTGCCCTCACAGGGTGGGGGTTTTTTGTTGCTTGGTTTGTGGTTTTTTTTTTTTTATTATTATTTTTAGGTTTGTTTGTTTGATAAGAACTGCTTGCAAAATACTGTAGCCTTAGGATGGTCCCACCAGGCAGTCAGTATAATGCCTTCAGCTATTCTGCATGAATGGGACAGTCTGCAGGATGAAAACAACCTGAATTTTCAGTAAGCTACTAGCTCTGATGTCACTTTCATTTCAGTACTCACAAACTTTTGTCCTGAATCCTTTTTATCTCTAATTCTGAAGGCAAACATATCATTTGGGTGCCTCAGTGAAAAGGGACCTGAAAACTGTAAAAAGGCCCTCAGTGAGTGCAGTGACAGACCATCAGTTCATCTGCCCTCAACTGGCACCAGTCTGACCTCCTGCACCAGGACAGGGAACACTGATAATATGCATGGAATGGATTCTCTATTACCTTCCACTTAAATTAGCCCTTCTCACTGAGGCATCATAG